GGAGAGAGGGAGAGAGAGAGAGGGAGAGAGAGAGAGAGAGAGAGAGAGAGCGTCCCTCATGACGTCACGCCAGCTGCATCATCCGTGCGCTCCGTCTCCAGGCGCTCCTCTCTCCATCAAAACACTCCTCGCCACCGCGAAATCTTGTGTTTTCTCGTGGAAATGGCCGCGCAGCCCAGCGACACTCTGGCGACGCTCAAGACCGAGTCTGAGACGCTGAAGACGAAGCTGGAGGAGGAGAGAGCCAAACTGCACGATGTCGAGCGTAAGAACCGAGCGTCAGTGTGTGTGTGTTTAATGAAGACATACTGTATGTTAGCAGTATAGCTGTCCTTATGAATCGGGATGTTTACAGTAAGTCTGATTGAAGAGCAAATCGGAATCATTAGCCGTTTAGATAAACTGAGCAGGTTTCAGGAAGACGATGATGATGGTGGTGATGATAATGATGATGGTGGTGGTGATGGTGATGATGATGATGATGATGGTGGTGGTGATGATGATGATGATGGTGATGATGATGGTGGTGATGATGATGATGATGATGATGGTGGTGATGGTGATGATGATGATGGTGGTGGTGATGATGATGGTGATGATGGTGATGATGATGATGGTGGTGGTGATGATGATGGTGATGATGATGATGATGATGGTGGTGGTGGTGGTGATGATGATGATGGTGGTGATGATGATGATGATGGTGGTGGTGGTGATGCAGGGTTGCGTCAGATCGTGCTGTCCTGTTATTACTTCATACTGCTCTATACTACACATACTACACTTATACATACTGCAGTACGCGACACATACTTTATTTATCTGTATTATTATACTTATGTGTAGTATTGTACCAGTGGTGAATTTATATAGATCGATATACTACATAAACACCCTGATTTGTATTACTGTACTACATAATATTGATTGATGATGATGATGGTGATGATGATGATGATGGTGGTGGTGATGATGATGATGGTGATGGTGATGATGATGATGGTGGTGATGATGATGATGGTGATGATGATGGTGGTGGTGGTGGTGGTGATGATGATGGTGATGATGGTGGTGATGATGATGGTGGTGATGATAATGATGGTGGTGATGATGATGATGGTGGTGATGATGATGGTGGTGGTGGTGATGTTGGTGGTGGTGATGATGATTCAAGCATACCTGCATTAATAAATAAGATTAAATAAAGATTAATAAAGGCTGTAGAAGTATTGTTCAGGCTTAGTTCATGTGAACTAAAGACTAAAGTTAAGGTTAACTAATGAACCTTATTGTAAAGTGTTATCATATTTTTTATTTTCGATTTTTATTTTAGTTAGTTAATTTTATTATGTGCTTTTGTCATTTTCATTATTTTTTTATTGTTATAAAATATTTATATTTAGCTTTGATTTTTTTTGTGTTTTTTTTTACAATTTTAGTGTATCAAAATAACCTTTTTAACATTTCTGGTTCTAAGTTTGTAATCTAATATTTCTTTTTTATTTTATTTCAGCTATATTTCAATTTTTGTAACAACAATAACAACACTGCTAATAATTACTTCACAAGGAGAATATTCATTCTATTTTAAGCTTTTTTAAATTCAGTTATTTTGTGTAATATATTAAGTATTTTTTAACATTTATTCAATGTATTTACACATTTTATTTATGTATTACTTTTTATTATCGTGTTCATTTATTATTTATCTTTTTTTTCTAATGGTTTGATAAGATGCAATTAACTGCGGGCAGGTTAATGAAAAATAAAAACAGGAAATAAACAAAATGGCATTAAAGTTGTGGCTTTTCCATCAGTACATCAAGTGGCGGAGAAGATTGAGGCTTTGGGTCAGTTTGTTATGAAGACCAGACGAACCCTGAAAGGCCATGGAAATAAAGTCCTGTGTTTGGACTGGTGTAAAGACAAGAGGAGAATCGTCAGCTCATCTCAGGTCAGTCTATAAATCACATATCGATCCCTGTCATTTCCTTTCACAGTGACACAGTTTTGCAAATGATGCAAAAAATGCAGTAATTGTATCAATAATTATTGAATTTTCTTCTGTATTTTAGGATGGAAAGGTGATTGTATGGGATGCGTTTACAACAAATAAGGTAAAATGAACCTGACACTTTAAAAAAGTGAGATTTCTATGATTTCAAAGACCATATCATATACTTTTTTTTTTTTTCCCCAAAGTTTACCTATAACATTAGTCACTAATTATGTTATATAATTATGTACAGTATGCTTTTGACTAATGTTGATGTAAAATGTAGCTTAATTTGTTATTTAACTTCTGCTTTTTAGTATAATTGAGATACTATTATAGATACTGTTATAGTTTACTAATGTTTTGAATTAATTATTATTTTTTCATTTTATTTTATTTTTAGAAATAAAGTTGTGTGTTTTTGTAATTTGTCTTAGTTTTTTTTTTAAAGTCTACATATTTTTATTCATTTTTATATAGTTTTTGTTATTTTAGTACATCAAGGTAAACTAAATGAAAATGAGAAATTTTGCTTTAGCTGAAATAAAATATATTTATTTATTTATTTTTTGTCTCAGTTACCATTCATTTCATTTTTAAGTAACAGAATTTTTATTTTTATGGTTTTGTATTTTAGCTATAATAACGGC